TTGATAACTAGAAAGTCCCAATGTGTGTCAACCTCCGTGCTCCGTGGCAAGGCAGATTGGTAAAAATGGCCAACCTTTACTCACAATCGAGAAAACACTCCCTACAAGATTGCCTGCTCAAAAATCGAAGAGGCACCGCTCTCCGAATCTCGAGAGCCAGACTCCCAATAGGATTACGTGCTAAAAAATCGAAGAGGCACCGCCCTCCGAATCTCGAGAGCCAGACTCCCAACAGGGTTACTTTCTCAAAAATCGAAGAGACATTGCTATCTGAATCTCAAGAGTCAGACTCCCAACAAGATTACTTTCTTAAAAATTGAAGAGGCACCGCTCTTTGAATCTCGAGAGCCAGACTCCCAACAGGATTACTGCTCAAAAATCGAAGAGGCACCGCCCTCCGAATCTTGAGAGCCAGACTCCCAACATGATTACTTTCTCAAAAATCGAAGAGATACTGCTCTCCGAATCTCAATAGTCAGATTCCCAATAGGATTGCTTTCTCAAAAATCGAAGAGGCACCGTTCTCTGAATCTCGAGAGCCAGATCCCCAACAAGATTGCTTGTTCGAAAACTGAAGAGACATCGCTCTCCGAACTTCGAGAGCTAGATTTCCTTGGATTGCTTTCTTAAAACACGTGAAGCTTGCAGCTCCCACTACATTGCTATGACCAAGAAGGGTAAAGGAATAGCACTACTACTTTGTTTTAGGGAGACTCCTATATATGTCGACCTTCATCCTTTATAGCCAGGGAGACCTGCAAATAAAAAAAAATGCTTAACTTTTCTTCGCATCTGAGATGGCACTCTCAGCAGAGTCTCTCGAAATACTTAGCTTCTTTTCCTCCCGATAATACATCTGCAAACAAGCCACACCAGAGAAAGAGTATCTCATATCATCAGGGTTAAAAGTAAGAGTATCCCATATTATGCTTTTTTCCTGTCTTTTCCTTTGGTCTTGTTCTTACCTGCAAGACAAGGAGAAAGAGAGCAATTAGTCAGCACTTGGAATCAAGCTTCCAGTCAGGAACTGACTGCCTAGAACCCCTTGCCTGATTACTTACTTGGCATTGCTTTCGAGTACTCATCTTCAACATCTTATGCTTCCAGATAAGATACCACATCTGCCTGAGGAACAGATAGGGCAAGTGAGAAGGATACTAGGAAGCATGTGGAGACAAGCGTAACAGAACACGTGCTGATACATCCACTACTTTGTCAACAGCAAAAGTATTCCATATCATTAGGGTCGAACGTACTCTAGATTTGATGGACTTGTTTTGACCCTCAAATTCTTGAGTCGGCCTTATACTCTGGAGGAAACCAGAAAACCCTCCAGCCCAGTTCAAGAATAAGCCTGTGGAAAATTTCTTCTTCAAAAGCAAAAGTATCTAATATCATCTCTTCTCCATTTGCTTATCCTTATCCTTGTTACTGTTTACGACACAAGGAGAAGGAGAACAATCAACCGGAAGCCGAAGTCGAACCTTCGATCCAGGTTGCTTGCTTGGCAGTCTGATTGCTTACCTTATATGTTACCTCCTTCGGCAAATCTCCTAGCTCGGGGACTTGGGGGACTCCTACTATAGGGTTTGTATCGCATTTGACTAAGCCCGAAACTACAAGTAAGCTTCAAGTGAAATTGATACATTACCTTGTGCATCTTTATCGGTTAAAGATACCACCCCTGGATGGAGGAAAAGTACTTCCAGAGAAGATGTCACATCTACATATGAGACAAATAAGGCAAGTGAAAATGATACCATACTTCGGTACTTAGAAGTTTCATGATTACTCAATGGCTTGGATCTTGCAAGTCCCCAACCGATGAGCTTCCCTCACTCGGGAACTTATGGGAGCACTGTTTGTACTATACTTGACCAATCCCAAAACTACTGAGTACCGGTCAACGTTATACCGTCAAGGATCCAAAAGAGTTTCCCTCCAACCAAGAGGCCAATCACAACGCGACACATGTTGACATCAGAAGCCAATCATAGCGCGACACGTGTCAACAGCAGAAGCCAATCACAACATGACACGTGTCAATGTTAGAATGAAACTAGAAACTGTCTTCTATAAATAGAGATCTTTCTCTCACAATATTTTCTAATGTCATTTGTACTAAATCATTCACTAGTACTCACTAAAGGAGAGCTTGAACCTATGTACTTGTGTAAACCCTTCACAATTAATGAGAACTCCTCTACTTCGTGGACGTAGCCAATCTGGGTGAACCACTTACATCTTGTGTTTGCTTCCATGTCCCTATCCATTTACATACTTATCCACACTAGTGATCGGAGCAATCTAGCAAAGGTCACAAACTTAACACTTTCTGTTGTACCAAAGTCCTCACTGATTTTGTGCATCAACATAAGTGCCTAAGCGGACTAGGTGGATTAAGTAAACTATTAAACTATATATCGTGTAAATAAGTGTGTTTATACGTAAAAAATACATATTTGTATTGGGACATATAAATTGAAAAAAGGATGACACATATATTAAAAAGTATTAGAACATATTGAAAACATGGGTAACCAGAATATAATTAATACAGAGAGCTTAAGGGGAGGGATCCCCATTTTTTGAAAAAAATGGGGATTAGGTGTGGGGCCCACTTCACATCTAATTTCAACGATCCGAACCATTTATTTTGTTAGTCTCGATTCATAGATCATCCTTGCAAAATATTAGCTAAATTGGAAATGTTTAAGACATCTAATTGGGTTCAAGGAAATGAACGAATACTTTGTTGTATAAGAAAATATGAAATTTGATATTGATAATTAAATAGGCAAATGGTTTCGGATTAAATTGAATTTTTGCAAGGATGATCTATGAATCGAGACTAACAAAATAGACGGTTCGGATCGTTGAATTTAGATGTGAAGTGGGCCCCACACCTAATCCCCATTTTTTTCAAAAAATGGGGATCCCTCCCCTTAAGCTCTCTGATAATTAATAAGTATTCATCAAAGTATTCAACAAGTATTCAACAAATCTCTTATAGTTGTATAAAAATACCTAAATTGAAAAAATGATGACATATATATTAGAAAGTATTAGAATAAATTGAAAACATGAGCAACCATAATATAATGGGTGATCATCCAAGTATTCAACAAAATCTTTTACAATTTATTAAAAAAATAAATTACAAAATAAAGTTATCCGTTTTCTTTCTGAGTGAGAGTCGCGACCTAAGTATGTGTCTAAGTAAGTCTATGCGGGTTAGGCAGGCACCTAAGTGAGCCTAGATGCCCTAGGCTAGAGATTAATTAAGATGATGACTAGCCATCTAACATCTAGGCGATAATTTTTTGCTTAGATCGATGCAAGGGCCGGCCACTTTCTCTTCCAAAGAGGGCCGGCCATGCTCTATAAATAGGACTCCATTTTCTTTGAAATACTAGGTCCACACTCTTGCAAAACTCCAAAAACTCTCTAAACACTTTTCTCTCTAAATTCTAACTTTGGCATCGGAGGTTCTTCAGCCAAAGCCCCCCCCCCAAATTCATCGTGGGCGCATGAGGCTTTTGGCCTTAACCAAATGTGTTAATTGTTTTGTAGGTGCAATTTTGTCCAAGATCAAGGAGGAAGAAATTTGCATCCACAAATTGGTGCTTTCATTGAGAGAAGAGTCACACACTCGTAGAATACTCTCGCATAAAAAGGTTTTTCTCTATTTTCTAGTCCACTTGCATTTTTTCGTACGTTCTTATTATTAGAATTTTTTATTTGCAAAGATTCTTTGATAAAACGTAAAAGAGAAATAAATTGGCTAGAAATTTAAAAAATTCAACGAATGAAAATTCCAATATTCAAGAAATGGGACCGCGGCGATCCACGAGACTAAATGTGATCTTAGGGGGAGCGGCACCACCACCACAAGGTTCCACCACGGGAACCACCACGGTGGCTACCATGATAGCCACCCATGGCGAGGTCCATGGTGTCACCACTACCACGACCCGAGCCGTGCCACCAAAGCAAGCCCAACGAGAGCCCAATGCGTTGCCAAGCCAAGCCCAAGCCTCGCACTCGCATGCATCACGTACCGAGCAACCCACTCCGGTGGTCCAGGCTACTCCCGTGGCCCAGCCTGCCCCCGTGGCCTCCCAAGCAACCCAAGGCGGCCCAAGACTATCTCAACCATCCGAACCTACCATCAAGCCGAGGGCATTTTCACCATATTTCTTCGCGGATTTGACATTTCCTAACTTAAATCTCGCGCCCGGAACCTACCACACTTCTACTGCTCAATGAGGCACATTCTTTCCAAGCTTTTCCAATCTAAATGGCAAACAACACTTATCTTGACAAGTCATAGAGTTGACGAGCGTCTTTACACAGCAACCAACCTTGGTGAATCAACTCTTACAACGCATCGAGATCCAACGTGCCTCGAACTAGGTGTCCTGAAGTAGGACAAGGGCAGATGAACCTCTCCACCAGCGTCCCGACAAGCAACCCATCAACCAGCCACGATCTGAGAGTTCCGACAGTTTACGCTCTGGCCTGGGTCCTTGAGATAGCGTATACTCTCGTCTTAGCGCGTGGAGGAGCATGCATTCCCGATCAAGCCCATGGATGAGCATACGTTCACGGTTGAAGTCACACTCTGATTATCAATATGGATAACCTTTCAGGCAAAATGTTCATTCACAACTAGGCTCGCAAAGAGTATTCTCCACCTCACATTAGAGTAGATAGCATGGTAGACGGAGAGAAGCAGTCACTTAATCCGACTCAAGTTCAACCGACAGCCTGCGAGTAGCCTGTTTGCCTGCCAAGAACATGCAACATACACCACAACCACGACATAAATGAGTCGATCACAAGGAAGAGTGGCCCAAACCCATAGGTCATGATCGGGGCAGTCGAAATTTCCACTGCCCCAGCAGAGGCAAATTTAAAAAGAAGTTGAGAGGCTCTTAACTGAACGATTGCGTAATTTCCAACGTAACGAGCCTGCTGACGATGCGCTTTGACGAGACATGACCAACATAAGCATGTCACCATTCACAAATGAGACCGAGTGGAAAAATCCACCTCGCGGGTTCACTATGCCTCACTTCACTCCGTACAAAGGAGACGAAGATCCGGATCGACATCTCAAGCACTACCGTAGTACCATGATCCTCTACAGGAGCAATAACGCACTTATGTGCAAATTTTTTGCCACAACTCTATAAGGCGAAGCGCAAGATTAGTTTCATACTCTACCGCCGTAGTCAATCCAAAGTTTCAACGAACTTTCCTTTGTTTTCATTAAGGAGTATTCGTTTAACCGCTCAATCAAAAGGACATCAGACCATTTCTTCAGCATCGTAAAAGACCTTAGGGAGACAATTCGTGACTATGTCAAGAGATTCAAAGCTGAGAAAGCCAAGATTGTTAGCTGCAATGAAGACATAGCAACAACAGCATTCAGAAATGGGTTTCCTACCGAACATCCTTTATTCGGAAAACTAATCATAGGAGAAGAACTAACCCTAGCAACTTCGTATGCTTTGGCAGAAAAGCATGCATTATGGGATGAAGCTAAGCAGTTTAACAAAAACGAGTCAGAAAAGAAGCACATGGAATGTTCCTCGACCAAAGAAGACTCAGGGCTTGAAACATTCACCAAGTTCACAATTCCAATTGGCCAAATTCTCCGCAAGTTTAAGAACGAACCTTGGTTCGAACTGCCACCACCCATGAAAGGCGATCTTACCAGGCTGGATCATACAAAGTATTGCACATTCCATCAAAGACCAGGCCACAATACCAACGACTGCCTAAAATGGAAGCAGTACCTTGAGAAGCTGACAAATGAGGGTCGATACGATGAGTATCTTAACAGGTCAACGAAATAGCCTACATAAGCAAGGGAAGTCTTCATCACCCTTTGAACCCCGTTTAGGCTTTTCCAAATAAGTTCGAAGTCTCAAGCAGCTCAACGAACAAGGTCTCGCAAGCCAAAGATTATCCAGTTTGTTATGCCGTTTCTACCTTCCAGCACAGTTGATTTATTTCTTTATTCTCAATGAAGACTCAAGAAGTTACTCATAAGTCTAGCTCAACTGCTCAAAACCCTTTCTAGGTTTGCTCTCCAGTGTGAAAAGATAAACTAATTGCTTTCCAGTGCGAGAGGGTAAACTAATTCCCCAACACCCATATGGGTTTGCTCTCTAGTGCGAAAGGATAAACAATTGCTCTCTAGTGCGAGAGGGTAAACTAATTCCCCGACACCCATATGGGTTTACTCTCTAGTGCAAGAGGATAAACTAATTGCTCTCTAGTGCAACAGGGTAAACCAATTTCCCGACACATATATGGGTCTAATTTCCAGTACGAGAGGATAAACTAATTGCTCTCCAGTGTGAGAGAGTAAACTAATTGCTCTCCAGTGTAAGAGGGTAAACTAATTGTTGTCCAGTGAGAGAGGGTAAACTAATTCCCCGACACCTATCTAGGTAAGCTCTCCAGTTCGAGAAGGCCACATAGCTTAAAAGATCGAATGATTGAAAATCAACTAAGCAGCAAAAGGTCAGGGGGCAGAAGCCACTTTTGCACTTAACAGTTCACTCATTCAACACTTCATCTTTAGTAGCTCCGATCTTGGCAACTTTATCCTTGACTGCTCTATCTACGGCAGCTGAGAAATCAAACTCAAGCAGTTTCCTTATTTTTGGCAAGTAGCCCAAACATGGCAGCCCAAATCATTGCCCATGCCACACCACTTCCTTGGGCCATGCCGAACTAATCCTTGGCTTTAATCAAGCCGAACAGCACAAGCAATGGCCCCTACCACATCGCCTCCTTAGCCCATGACAAGCCAACTCCTGGCCCTTGCCAACCAACGTGTCGCACCACCCCGACGACTGCTCTGTGGCAGCACCTCCCAAGAAGAAGACAAGAAGAATTAAGTTTTCCTTACATCAGTGCAGCATGGAGAAGACGAAGAAAGCAATGAAAGACGGTCTTTTGCACAGACAAGTATAGAAGATTGCTAGGGGAGGGGGAAAAATATCCTCTAAGCTTTCTCTCTCTTGTAGGGTAGAATAAATCACTCTCCAAAGTTGATTTAACAACCCACTTAAGGTGGACTTAAATAGACTTTGAGAGAAATTTATTTCCCTTTCCTAGAATGATCTAATTTCATATTAAAGAGGGAATCTACATCAAAATAGGAAGCAGTCCTAAGTTTCCTAGAGCAAGAAGATCTCTACACCTGCTACCCTTTCTTACGAGCAGCCCAGCAAGTGTGGGGCATTTGTGGAGCCAAAAAATAATCAAGAGGCGACATGTGAATTTTTAGGTGAAAATGACAAAATTACCCTCGAGACACACCGGGTTTCCTACACGCGAGCAGCGGAGAATCATCCATCAACTGAGTCAAGAGTGCCCAAAATAGGTAACAAGTTCAAATTTATCTCATCCATATTTACTCCATATCCTCTACAAGGAAATAATTCCATAACCTTCAAAACCTTCCATATAAATTAAATTAATTAGGCTGATTAATGGATTAATTCCTAATTAATCCATTAATTACCAAATTAATAACCATTACACCCCAAAAAACATTCAAGGGCCAGCCACTCTCTCTTTCAAAGAGGGCCGGCCATGTTCTGTAAATAGGACTCCATTTTCTTTGAAAGACTAGGTCCATACTCTTGCAAAACTCCAAAAACTCTCTAAACACTTTTCTCTCTAAATTCTAAATTTGGCATCGGAGGTTCTTCGGCCAAAGCCCCCCTCTTCATCGTGGGCACGTGAGGTTTTTGGCCTTAACCAAATGTGTTAATTGTTTTGTAGGTGCAATTTTGTCCAAGATCAAGGAGGAAGAAATTTGCATCCACTGAATTGAAATGAGACTTTGTAGTGGTCATTACTTTTCGTATTGATAAGGATACGTTTACTTACCAAGAATTAGTATGAGGTGAAATTGAGGTATTTTAATTTTTACCTTTCCCATGTTTATTGATGCATAAGGTCTTCTACAATGCTTCAGGCGAGTTTCATATTTTTATATTTAATGTTGAGTTTGATTTCTATAACACAATTGTTGAAGACTAATGAAGTGTTTACGCGTTCATAATTGAAATCAATTTACAGAGTTGGATTCTGACTATGAGATACTTCTTTGTTTACTTAACTTTGGATTCACACCAATCTAGGAATCCAACTCCTCATTTTGTAAAAATTGAACCCCCTAGATGAGGCCTATGAGGGAGGTATTTGAATTCCGACACGATAATCATCAAAGTTAATTTTGATAAAGGAAGAGTCCGGAGGGATCCATTTAATCAGTTTAGAAGGCTTCAAAAACCTCTGTTTATTATTTTTAGCATTAGCTTTATAATATGATCGACCTTCTGTAGCAACGAGTGTAATGCACGAGCATGATTAGATTGGAAGTTTCTAAACATAATAGCATTTCTATCATTCTAGATTTGCCAACAATTTAACAGAGCTTTATTCACCGCACAGACCTCAACAGACTTTGAATTCTGTAAAGTTTTCATCCAATCTAGAATATAAATATACGAACTTGAGGTATCATTAAAAGGATTATCAGGAGCTAGGCACCAGACATCTTTGGCATACTTGCAACTAAGGAAATGATTTTGCTCTTCTTCAATCACACTCACACCCACAGAAAGGACACTTGTTATCTATATCCTTCATGAATCTACTTAAAACATTTTCTTGTTTGAAGTCTGCTTTTAATTAAAAGCCAATTAAACATTTTAACTTTAGGAGGAATGGTAGTTTGCGCACCTTATTTTGTCTTACTAAATTTTGCTAAATATCATGCTGGATCTAGGTTGTGGACTTAACTGAGAACATACCGTTGACAAATATGTCTTGAGTTCTCTGTAAAAGAATAGGGATGCTGCAAATCTTCCTAGTAACATCAAAGTCTACAACCTGATTTAATTTGTTTTTATACCAGCAGTTATTTAAAAACCAACTTAGAAGTCCTAATTTAGAGAAGAACTTTGGTTTCCAGGGATAAAGTAAAAAAGTGGGTAAGGAAAAACTCATTAATGGACCCGGAATAAAATGCCGCTGCTGTCATCACCCATAATCCATCTCATCTGAAAGGCCTGATATCATCGTTGCCCGCGCCATTAGCTGGTGGCAAAACTTCCAGTCTATCTGCATTGCAGTCCCTCATGCCCAGTAATATGGGGCTGTCTCCAAATGGTTCAGAATCGTCGATGGGTTTCCTCAAGATTAACATGGATGGGGCTTGGCGTGAATCTCACAGAGTTGGGGGGTAGGGTTATTATCCAGGACACGGATGGGTGTTTTGTTGTTGCCTTCTCCATGTCATTTAAGCATGTCTCGTCGCCCATTCACATTGAAGCACTTGTAGCTCGCGAAGAGTTATTGTTGGCTTCGCATTTGGGACTGCAAAATTTGATACTTGGGAGTGATTCCCTCCATATCGCAATTGCCTTGCAGTCGAGTTCTCCCGATTCGTCCTTTATTGGTCAGATTGGGGAAGACACGAAGGCTTTGCTTCATGAGATCACTGGAGCAACGGCTGCCCCCGCACGTCACAACGCCAAAGAGGTTGCTCATCGTCCTGCTCGATATGTATTTTTCCTCCCCATGTGATGTGTGAAATTGGTACCAGGTGAAATATCTACATAAAAAAAATTTAACTTTGCACAATAAACTAGTCAATTGAGCTAGTCAACTAGTTACAGCTTATCAATGATAGAAAGTGCAGTTGCAAGAACAAATCCTAATTGACTAGTATGTCCAACTATTCAGTGTCTACCCATATCAACAACAAATCTCAAACTTGAACACATTCACATATCAGTTCATTATGCGAACAACAATGACAAAGCAATTATGAAGTAAAGTATGTTGGATTGACTATTCAAGCTCATCAGTCAACTAAGTACAAATTCGTTAGTTAATTAAACGCAAATCTACGAATCAAAATTAGTTTACTACAAGTTATCTTAGTCAACAATATTTCAATTTATTGCTCATAAAGTAAACTTAGTCGCAAACACATATCAAATAACAACTTATGGGATGCCTGAAACATATGTTAGTAAATAAGATATGTGAACAAGTTCAAGAGACAAAGAACACAAGAAGTTTTTGGCCGAAATGACCCACCTAAACCGGATACTCTACACTGAGTATAATCCACTAGTGTAAACAAGATTCATACAAAGTATCCACACACTACTACAAAATTGTCTATTTCTGGCAGTCCAAAAACTGACAAGAAACATATATTACTGTCGAATATTATGCAAAATCCGACAGAAAATGCATGCAGTGGCGGATATAATAAGCGATAAAATTGTCAGCGTCAGGAAATGAATTTTCGGACAGAAAATACTCTAAAACCGACAGAACTTGTGTCGGATATAACTGACATAAAGTTTATTAATAAAGAATAAATAAGAGCATTTTCTGTCGGATACAACCGACATAAAATATATATAACTGACAGAACTTGTGTCGGTTATAATCTACAGTAAATATTAATAAAAAAATTGCTAAAGCATTGTTCTGTCGATTAAAACCGACATCAAATATATTAATAATAAAATAAATAAATAGGACATTAGAGCAGAACCCTTCTTCTCGTTGACCATTCTTCTCCCCTTCTACTCAAAATCAGAATCTGCAGAAACACAGAAGAGAAAAGCCAACCTTCTTCCCAACACAAAACACAACAATACATCCCAGAAAAAACAACAAAGAAAACATAAACCTCTCATACAATGGACAAAAACAAAGGAAAACAGAACAAAAATCAACCTTAAAAACAGAAACCTTCTTCCTCATCTTGACTCGTCGTCGATTGTTCTCTCCAAATGGTTCAGTCCCA